AACACGTGGCCTCGAAGGGCAGTGGTGCAGTGGTAGGCGCCCTTTGTCGAGTCACGATACCAAGCCCTGGCAGCGACATTGACAGATGTTCCATCGGGTATGGTACCCAACCATGGCTCCGGATCAAAAGCTGGCATGACAGCCCCCTCGCGCTATCAGCCAGCACAGGCGCACCGCTGGTAGGTACTCGAGCCAGCGCCTGGCATGGCCTCCAACCTAATAGCAATGGCCTCCAACCTAATAGCGATGGCCTCCAACCTAATAGCGATGGCCTCCAACCTAATAGCAATGGCCTCCAACCTAATAACGATGGCCTCCAACCTAATAGCCATGGCCTCCCACCTAATAGCAATGGCCTCAACCCTCCTAGCGATGGCCCCCAACCTAACAGCAACCTAACAGCAATGGCCTCCAACCTAATAGCGATGGCCTCCAACCCAATAGCGATGGCCTCCAACCTACTAGCGATGGCCTCCAACCTAATAGCAATGGCCTCCAAACTAATAGCGATGGCCTCCAACCTAAGAGCGATGGCCTCCACCGTAGTACCGATGGCCTCCAACCTAATAGCGATGGCCTCCACCGTAGTACCGATGGCCTCCAACCTAAGAGCGATGGCCTCCAACCTACTAGCGACCGCCTCCAACCTAATAGCAATGGCCTCCACCCTACAAGAGATGGCCGCCACCCTACTAGCGATGGTCTCCACCCTACTAGCATGGCCTCCAACCTAAGAGTGATGGTCTCCAACCTAATAGCAATGGCCTCCAACCTAATAGCGATGGCCTCCAACCTAAGAGCGATGGCCTCCACCCTACTAGCGATAATGGCGCTCCTGCAGCTCAGCCTTCCTGAACTGGTTCCAGATGCTCTTCTCATCCTCGAGGAGAATGTCCGACCAACCCAGGATGTCCCAAGGCTTCTCAGCCGGAGGCTTGCAAATGTAGGTGGTCAGCCACTCAAGGCACATGATCGTAAAGACCACCTGTCATCTTCAAAATCTTCCTTCTACAAGTGTCTACATCTCTACAAGTTCAGATTTGACAGTTTAGGGCCTAGGGCAGGTTTGGACTTTAGTATGGTCCAGAACTGAACCACTGCAGGAATCCTTGCGAATTCATGGCTCACCTGGATGGTTTCGAACGGTTTCAACAGTTTTAGAACGACATTGTCTCGTTGGCCAGCAATCTAGCGACCTGCCAGATACCGCCCATGGGCATCTGAGTAAGGCTCACCAAGGGATTGTCATCCAAGTGAACTCCAACGGCATAGTCTCCGATGATGTGAAATCCGCCGGCCACGTGAAACCAACCGATGACCGCCAGCATGGCCACACGTCCATGCTTCAGCTCCTGAGCACGGAGCTGCAAGATCTCCTGGAACACAAAGGGAGATGGACAAAATCAGAAGAACAATCAAGAGAACCAACGTCAAGAGCTACATAAGTTAACATCCTGTGATAAATTCATATTAATACATGCACATTAATGTTCTGACATTCCTTATTGCTTCTTATATTACTTTGTGAGCTTTCTAGAGGAGTCATGGCAAGTCTGCTGTCTTTGAAGGTCATTTCAGGGGTGCATCCCTTCCAGAACCTCGACCACCTGTCTCTGCAAAAAGTATAGCGTAAAAATTGTCTAATCTGGATTCGGATCTTATTTATTTATATTTATCTTTTTTAAACGACATTTTTGCAGTGCTTTCATCTCCTCCTTGCTCTTCTTTGCAGTGATACCTGCAGGATCCCAGTACATATCAGCCAAAGGCCCGCCTGTGCCGGCAATGCACTCTTGTGCTGGAGTCAGCGCGCGCAAAGGGGAGTCGGTGTAGTTGGCCCAATCACCCCAAGCAGATCCTGCTGGAATCATCGCACATTCGAACTACGTGACAACCAGGGGTGCTCCTAGTAGCGATGCCAGGAGCCCCTAGTAGCTTCTTGTTCCTAGTAGTAAGGCCAGGAGTCCCTAGTAGCTTTGAGCATATTGCTGCCTACTTCACGAAAGCCTTTCTCACCGATTACCCTTTTACTGTCATCACTTCTCTTTGCAACGAAGGCAAGACTGAAGAAACTGACTGGCGACTGTAAGGAAAGGCACTCTTGGACGTGAAATCCTCTTAAGGTCCTGTAAGCCCATCTTGGAAGAACATGCCAATGATGGCCATCATCGCCAAACGTCCATTGGCGATCTCGGCGGCTAACTTCTTCTCCTTGGTGCCCTCAGGCGCCTTCACAAAGCTGTTGGGCACACCCAAGAAGCCAGCGTTGGCGAAGTCGCCCGGAGCACGCTTGGGATCGTCGGTGTATTGGAAGAGCTCCACAGTGCCCGCGAAGGCCACCATCTGAGCCCAGCCACTCAAGGGCACCTTGCTGAAAGCGGCGAAGCCAGTGGGCACATCGCTGAACTTCAGGCCCAAAGAAGGGGAAAGGTCACCTGGGTCGGTCTGGGTGGGTTATGGTTGGTTTGTGAATGTGAACGACTTGTCCTTCTCACTCGTCTTTCTCATCTTTCTCCCTCTTTGCCATACTGTCAACTCTAGACTCCAGACCCTTTTACCAACAATGTCCCTTTAGCTACTAGCGATGGCCTTCAATTTAATAGCGATGGCCTCCCTCCTTTTCTTCCAGCGACATGATGTATTACGCCCTCCCGGCCTGGCCAACGATAGTACTCTGGCGCAATGTAGCCCATGCATGCGAACATGGCCACACGGCCATGCTTCAGCTCCACATAGCGACGACGGCGGAAGGAGGCGGCGTCGTCAGTCTTGGTAAAACCCAATGGATCCCAAAAGCCCACGGGCGGCTGCACGCCAAGCTCGCTCTCGAAGGCGGAAGAGCCAGTGTAAAGCCCATAAGGAGTGCCGAACAAGCCGTCCTACATCAAGATCAACTTCCAACACAAAACGAAACATAATCAACTCTCTATAATTTCTTTAAAAGCTATTACTCTCAATCCCTTATCTTGTTATATCGACTTATCCTCATCAGAGTTTTCAAACATGAAGCACTTCAAATCACTTCAATACCACAATCTTCCCATCTCCTGCACCCAAAGCCCAACGATGGCCATCATCGCCAGGCGTCCGTTGGCCAACTCCGAGTTCAAGGCGCGCTTTCGCGCCTCAGCGTCCTGCATGGGTTCCGCAGAGATGCCCAAGACCATGTTGCCATAGCCGAGCTTTCCCTTGCCATAGTTTCCAGGATCCGCAGGGTCCACTGGAGTGTTCACACAGAACTCATAGCAACCACAAAGGGCCACCCACTGCAACCAACCTTCAGCAGGCACCTTCGTGATAGCCGCCAAGCCGTTGGGCACATCTGCGAACTTCAGGTTGGCAGAAGGTGCCAAGTATCCCGGAAATTTGAAGTATTCCGGAACCATGTATCCCATCGTCGCAAACATGGCCACCCGGCCGTTCTTTAACTCGCACTCCCGGCGACGACGGAAGGTCTCCACATCGCCATCCTTCGACAAACCCATGGGGTCGAAGTAGCCCAGTGGCGCCTGGACTCCCAGCTCGCTTTCAAAGGCGCGCAAAGGGGACTCGGTGTAGTTGGCCCAATCACCCCAAGCAGATCCTGACAACAAACACCCACACACACACAAACAACAGGATGACATACAACAGGATTTGAAAGGATCTCTGAGATTCTATGAGTATGATAGCAATCTGCTTGGGAAGATTGCTCACCTTACACAGCATACTCGACGCAATGCACATTGCATTCGCTTCTCAGAATTCTTAACTCTCAGCTGACTTGCTTTTGAACCTAGATACTGCATCATGCACACCCGATTGCACCTAGTGGCTAAACAGAAATGAGATCGAACAAAAAGATACAAAAAGGCCGCAAGAAGGGTCCAATGTAGTCCTCAGTAGTCCTCGAAAAATGCTCAAGAAGCGAAGAACACTTCTGGTTTGAACCCATCGCCAACCCTTAGTCCTGTAAGCCCATCTTGGAAGAACATGCCGATGATGGCCATCATGGCCAAACGTCCATTGGCGATTTCCGCGTTGAGCTTCTTCTTTTTGATCTCAGCATCCTCGATGGCCTTGCCACCCAAGTATCCTGGAAGGCCCAAGAAGCCGTATTCGTAGTTGGTGGCTCCCTCACCAAAGAGGCGAGTGCACAACTTTCCCGGAGGGTTTGTTGGGACCTGGTGCATCAGCCAAAGGTCACAAATTCCGCAGAAGATGGTGTACTGGAACCAACCAACTGCAGGAACTTTGGTGGCTGCAGCAAGTCCGTTGGGGATATCCGTGAACTTGAGTTCGCTGGAAGGAGAGATGAAGCCGGGGAATCTGAAAAACTCCTGAACAATGTATCCTCGGTCTTAGTCAGCTCAGTTGAGAGTAAAACATATCAACCATCGTGCTCCATGCAACACATCATGTGGTGTTTCTCTTCGTCTGCCAAGGCTCCTGTGCAAGCCAACATGGAAACTCGGCCGTGTTTGATCTCAACAACACGTCGGCGGTAGAATTCCCTGGCATCTCCGTCACTGGAGAGCCCTGCGGGATCCCAAAAGCCCAGGGGCGCCTGCACGCCAAGCTCATTCTCAAAAGCAGAGAGCTGCGTAGCTGTAGCACGTTTGCCGTTCTTGGTGTCCTTGCGCAGCGCAGCGACAGCAGTGGCGCCCAAGACCACACCCACCGTGCTCATCATAGCGCTGGTACCGTTGGAAGCGGCAGCTCCCCGAAGAGCGGAGCGAGCGGATCCGGGTGTGGAAGTGGGTGTGGAAGTCTGACGACTTGGCAAAGCCACAAAGGCAGTGCCCGCTACAGCAGCGACAGCCGCTGTCTTGGACATCTGAGGTGCCATGGGATCGTTCGAGATGGCACCAGCTGTCGTGCTGTCTTTGTCTGGGCTTCAGCCAAAATGGCTGTTACTAGGAGGTAATGGTAGTTTGTGTGAATTGCATTGCTAGATATTCCTAGATGTCTTGCTCAACGTCAGCCGAAATTCAGGCCTTGAAGCAACACGCAGCTCCAGCCTCCCAGTCCTCTTCACGATATCTGGAAGCAATGGGTAGCCGCGTTGCAGTCGCAGCTGCCTAACACGGAAAAAAGAGAAGCATCAAGAACCAGCCCAGCCTAAATTTAAACACCAAGCAGCAAATTGTTAGCGAATGCATCTTTGTTTTCTTCGGTGCCATACTTCCTAGACTATGCGCAACTGAGGATGGCCTGCGACTGCGACTCTCTTTGTGTTGGACAAGTTGGGAGTGACAGCATTGACGGTAATTGAAGTTGCCAAAAAAGGACACCCACCCCTCCGACCCCTCCACTCCAGTGAGATCAGATTGCACATGATGAATTTTGGTTCACAATTTGTCAACCCACGCTTGTTGCCTGAAAGCTCCCCCTTGCTTGCAAAAGTTTCACAACATGGATTCACCATCCTCTACATTGGATAGCAGTAACTTTGCCACAGCACGTTCAGAATTTTGAAGGACATATTAAGAGGATTGCACAACATCTGCTTTTTGGTCAGGCTTGTTGCTGGGCTTCAAAAGGAAACGGAAGGGCTGCTTTTGCAACCATTTGCCCAAAGCTTTGGCATGTTCCACAGACCGAAAAACATGTCATTCTGTGAACAACTTCTAATGTCTCCGACGTGCCAAGGGGCTATCGCAGATGTCGGAATGAAGTGTGCGGATGTCGGGGAGCTTGGCTCAGCTTGTGCCTGTTGGCAATGTCTAGTGGTATCCAGTCCTAGATACCTTATGCACGTCAAGCTTGCAAACCTTCCGACATGTCCAGAGATGCCCTCTCAGAACTCCAAGTGATCGTGTTCGCTGCCAACCACACTGCTTCATGTTGCTCTTTTAGCCGAGGAGCTGCTTCCCAATTCATGTGCCGCGGAGTTAATCTCACGGCACCTGACAGAACGATGAGGCAAACATTCGCTTTCTCTCTCGGCGGGTCAAGATCAGCTCAAGTGACAGCATTCTGTTAAATCACATTCTTGAACTTTTTGATCAACATGAACACAAAGATGAACCTTGCGACAGAACACTATTTTTCTATTCTATCTTCTCTGTCCTTTCAACTTGTTCTTGAAGATGTTAAAAGCCTGTTGGCCCTGAAAACACACCTTTTTCGCGAGGGGTAAGGTAAGGGTTGCTGGACATTGCTGGACTGACATCCCACGGTGCTACCAATAGGAACCTTGTTTGCATCTTCTGTGGGTTTCTGAGTTTGACCTGATTTGACAACTTCGAGCTTTAACGAATCGATTTTCGTTGGGAAAAGGAACGTCGCCAAAGAAACCGTGACTTGGCACGTCACATGCCCACCTGGACTCAATGGGCTTTGATCTCCCACGCCTTGGAAATGGGCCTGAGCCAGTGATGAAAGTAATTACATGACGACCATCGAAATGATTCGGTGTAGCTATCTATTCTTTCAGCAAAACAACTTCTTTATCTTCTTTCATTCTTTCCTTTAACTCTTTCAGCTGGTTTGAATCTAACCCACTATGCGACATCACCGTGTTGGGAGCCCAAGGTTTTGTGAAAGCATGATTGCTTCGTGCTCTGTGGTGGGTCTGCAGAACGTGACCTTTCGGGGGTTCCGCACACGGAACACACTTGGGTGACATGTACTGAGATGTACTGAGTACAACACGTACTCATCAGTTCAGCAAAGTACTCGTTGGTTCTTGAAGACAGTCCTGACTGTCTCCTTCCGGTGTGTTTAGACTATCCGCAAAGGTCCATCCTGGCCTCAGGCCGATCCAAGAACCGTGGTGACTGACCACCTGGGCTTTCAGTGAAAAGCTGGAGTGATTTTGGTTCTTTGCCAAAGAACCAAAGAACCAAAGGGAAGCAGTCAACACTTTTACATGAGTTGAATATGGGTCAATGACTAGCTGAATATCAATTCCCCAAGGTGGGTGCCAACGTTTCCTTTACCTTCTCTGTTGTAGCGTGTGGGCTTGCTCCTGTGACTGTCAAGTTACACTCTAGACATCTCTAGACTCCTTCAAGCACGGTTTCATCACCTTCGCTTCGCTGCCCTTCTTTTGCTCAAACTTCGATCAATCCCATACAACGGCCATCTCGCTCGTTGTACTGGAGACCGCGTCGCTCAAGCCGCTGGCTGACCGTGCTTTTCCATCGGTCTGCAGTTCCACACGTCGAGCATCACGGTGCTGCAGCCAGAGTTCCACCTGAAAAACGATGAGAATGGGGTGGAGGCCGTCCAGTTCCATCCCGGTGCAGGTCTCACGTTGCAAAGGGGGAAGGACCATCCCATGCACCACATATGCCAAACTGAGAACACCGAAGGTCTGTTCAAAAAACATATATAAATACACAACTGACCAAATACAGTGAAAATTTCAAGCTGTTTGCAAACCAAACTCCAACATCAACAAACCCTAGCAAGAACGGCCTTATAGGCTCTCATAGGATAATTTAGCTTCCATGAACCATGCACACAGGACACACCAAAAAAGTGAACAACTTTCTACCTATCGCCTGCGGGTATCCTTTGGGACATCCTTGCGAATCGTTTGGGTATCACTTGGGCGGACCTTTCTACCTCCCTTCTCTTGCGAGCAAAGCCTCGCGGAATTACAGATCCATGAGTCTGTTTTGTCATTCGGTGCGATCAATGAGGGTTGAGGGGTGGTGTAGAGCTTGTGACACTTGTCGTTCATTTTTTTGGGGACACATTGCACAAAGGACCAGCATATTGAAGGATATTGAAATGTTTCGACTGTATTTTCAACCCATGATGACATGCCCCACCTGCTCAGGCCCATCTTCGTAACTTGGCAACTTCAATGGTGCTAGCAGGGGATGGCGGCGAACATCTGCATGCTTCATCCGAGCGTGTGGCTGTTGCAGCAAAGACCAAGTGAATTGTCCAGCAAGCTGTGCTTGACCTACTGGATCTTCAACTCCTTGCATGCCTTGGCACATTGGCAAAGGACCAATGCATTTACTGCGTTCAAAAACAGTCTCTCTGGAAAACAATGACATCGAAACACACCGTTATCGTATTTACTTTCCGCTTCAGCCTATCGGGCCTATCGCCGCTGAGACGTTCTGGCCTCGAAAGGGAGGAAAGTTGATCTGGACGCAATGATGAAGCTGGGCCCAGTCGTGGAAATGAGCCGAAAATTCCGGGCGCTGAGAAACGGGAGGCGCCGTGTTGTGCATCCCTCCGGTGAAAATCAGCCAGGTGACCACGCCTAAGGAATAAAGATCTGCACCTGAGGGCGGCTCGTAAAACCTAAAGATCCTAAAGAAAAAAACACGGTAACGTAGCAACCACTTTTTTCCAGTCATCCCGAAACAATATCAATTAGACAATGGCAGAGCTTTGAGCCCTTCTAAAGAGTCAACAGTGCAACCATTCTATCGTGCAGGATTGCAATCCCCTTCCACTACGTGCTCCATGTAATGTTTTCTAAAAAACAACACTTTGCACATCTTTTGCACCTTCATCATGTGGATGTCCATACAAGACCTCTGGTGCACAGTAGCCCACTGTTCCTGCCGGATGACCAAAGGAGAAGTTCCCAGCCGATGCACCGAAGCGACCCGCACCAAAGTCCGCCAACTTGGCACACAATGTCTGGTCGATCATGACGTTCTCCGGCTTCAGATCCCGGAATAGAATGTTGAGCCTGTGATGCATGTGCTCCAGTCCCAGGAAGATTTGACCCAGCCAATTCAAAGTTTGAGCTGGTGGAAGATAGCCGGAACCTGATGTAAATGCATGCTCTTTGGCTTGCAAGATTTGTCGGAAGAGGTTACTTGGGCAAAACTCCATCACCAAGGTGTAAAGCTGTGAGGTCTCATCGAAGAAAATCATGAAGAGCCGCACGATGCAGGGATGTGGAGTTTGCCGGACACAGGTTGCCACCTTGACAAAACGACACACCCGCTGCCTGGCGAAAATGACTCACCACTACTTAAACAAAGTGACAGCGTTTGCGTCGGCCTCGCATTCTCGGGCTACCTCAGGTGGGACGCCCCGATCGGCGCTGCCAGAGTTGCTGCGGAAGACCTTCACCGCGTAGTACGGCGAGCTCTGCAGCCGGTGCTTCGCGCGGAACACGCGGCCACCTGCACCTAGAGCGATGCCAAACACAGCCAAATTCAATACCTTGTTTGACTCACTTATGTACGTCACTTATGACTTAAATTGACCTCATGAGACCGATCGATTCCCTGGCTTCTACGTTTCACACCCTTTCTCGTATTTTGCCGCAAAGATCCTCGTATCCCGCTTGGTTGTCCCCTGCCCGTGGTTTCTTTGTTCAAGACGGGCCGCGAACAAACATGAAGCGTACATTCCAAAGCAAATACAACTGCGTGAAACAAGAGCTTTGGCAAGGAAGGATGCAAATTGGTGGCACTACAAACTTTACAGGCAACATGCTGCAAAAGCAACAACATTTTAGGATGGAACACAAGAGCGGCAAGCAACGTTGGAAAACTGGAAAACAGGCTGGGATTATTTCCACTTTGACACCCACTCCACATTATGTCCACATCATTTCACTTTGAGCTAAAAGCATCAAATGAGCAAAATGAGCGAAGCCTCGAAATGTGCGAAAAGGAACATCAACCATCCGAAGGACGCTACTAGGGGCTCCTGGCCTTACTACTAGGAACAAGGTTCGCTACTAGGGGCTCCTGGCATCGCTACGAACGAAGCTTTTTCTATTTCCAAATGAGGAAAACCATCCGAACATATCCGAACCTTCTCCAATCAGCGCTTGAGTGGCGCTGCATTTCTCGCCGTTGGCGGTGATGGGCTCCAAATCCTCGACAGTTGAGATGATTGATCAGGAAAAGGGCCTGGGTGTTTCATGATGTTTCCCTATATCTCAACCACCCAGCATATTGGTAGCAAATATTATTCTGATCCAAACTGTTATTCGAGCCCGACATTGCAGGGAGTGCATTTTTTTCGTAAGAAGCCAATGTAAAAGCCTGGTTGTCAAGACAAGCATATTTCTACTAGAGTGGGTTGCTCCCAGCTCAAGTCTATATCCACACACACACACTGTTAATTCGTACCAACCACAAGGCCACTTCGATTCGATCCATGCTT